ATGTTGTCCCTTAGTATCAATCAGAACTAGTCCTTTTACGCTTTAAACTCAAATCTAAATTCAAAATAGCAACAGAAAAATAAGTTTATAAACAATAATTTTTAAATAGTCTTTTCAAATTCATATACACAGTTAATCCATATTACAATTATTTATTAGTTTAATGAATAGATTGAGATCAATTTTATTACTTTCTAAAGAATATTTTATTCTAAAAAAAATATATTATTTCAAATAAATGATAAGAAAAAATAAATTAGGTATATTATATCATTTGTATCCACTACTTCAAATATAAAATGAATTCTTTGAAACGAATATTCATAAATCAACATTATTTGTAATACCTATTAACGGTTTATATAATGTTATATACTGGAGTTATAAATCACAAATAAACTTTGACAATGATCATAAAAGTTTCAAAATATGTTTCAAACAAACAAAAGAATAAAACTTTTCTTTAAATTTCTCTTATTTTAAAGTTTTCAAAAAGAAAATAACATTTTTATTATATATATAAATGTAATATCATTTTTTCTATCGTTACATTTCATTTATTTAATTTTACAATTTTTTCAGAAAAATAAATGCAAGAAAAAATATATATATTATATTATATTAGTATTTAATATATATATATATTACCAAGAGGTATAGAACTTTGCGCCTGCTCTTTTTCTTTTAATTTGTTTTGATATTCCTGACTGTTTACGAGTTCTGAAACTTTCAATCTGCCTATTCTCTCTTTTGCTGCCATCTCTCCTTGAGTAATACCCGGGTTTTTAAGCTTCAAACGCACTAATTCTTCAAGTTGCTGTTCTCTACTTAGTGTTTTTGTAATACGTTTGTTTAAGTTGAAATCGCCACTCTTGAAGTAATTATACCACCTTACACATGTTGTTAAGGATATAATACCCGTTCCATAAGCGTATGAGAGCATTCGGTGGGCCACACGGGCGGATTTTTTACTATTAAAATAATAAAGTAACACTTCCCGCTAATGACGAGTAGTTGGTTTATAATCTGACATTTCTAATTTGAAATAGCTATATATAATGTAAACACAAGTCAACTACTGATACTACCAAATTATCTTCACAAAATGTTAAAGAGTATTCCAAACTGTCTTATATGTATGTATTCGACGTCTACTTGTCACTAATGCCATCTACAATAATCTATATATATATGTATATGTCCATACCTAATATATATTACTACTATATTTATGTAATATGTAGGGGGAGTTCACGTAACATCTAACATCACCTAGCGCCGATAACTCATATATTAACCGTTTCTTTTCAAAATGATGTTAATCCACTTTTTCTTTTTTCGAGAAAATTAAAGGTTTGTATATCTGGTAATTAAAAAATTTAGGCTAGTTATATGAAGTCTGCCAATATTTCTACAGATTTATCAATATGCCATTTAGTTATATAAATTTGTATTACGCGAATTTGACTAAAGTAACGTATATTTACTTACTGCATTAAACTTACATCACTTTCTAAATGAAACAATTGTGAAAATCGTTTAATTTCAATTTTGAAAAATCAAATATCATTTAAAGTTTGTTTTATATTAACCAAATTCTGTATCCTAATAATGACAAAATATAAAATGGAAGTAGTATTTTTAATTTTAGACGTTAATTACATTGTTAAAAATACAATATATTGGTAGTATTTACTTATGCTCTGTATATGAGAGTTTTTTGAAATATTTATGATACACAGGAGGTATATAAGGTAATAACTACTTGAAATGTTTATATTTTTCTTAACTAATAGGTCAGACGTCTTGGTACAAAGCCGCCACGGCTATTTTTTCAAATTTTAGCGATGTTTTAGGATATGTAGATAATTTACAGTTTTAAATTCTTTGTTTTTAATCGATGTTTTGAATAAAATAGTATATGGTACAATTTTAATAAACCACATCCATCATATTGGCAAGCAATTAACCTTTTCTTCATTAGTGTTTCTTCTTATCTGTTTTTTGATTGTGTTTTGAAGATTTTTTTTTTTTAATGAAATTTTCTCATTTTATTTCATGTAAAGTGAATTTATTATTTCTTTAGATTGTTTTATTAAATCATAATAATCCTGTGATTTATATAGCAAATCTTTTTACTCTTTTTTTCTTCTTTTTTTACTATAGAAATGGGACTTAAAACTCTTTCAAAATAAACTGTAGATATCTTAAAAAATAATAATCAAAAGCGGATGAAACGTGTTGTACAGGATCATACGATCCAGGTTATCAGTGAGGCTCTAGTGTTTTCTGCAGGAAAACACTGCATCGTCTAAGATTCAGGTAAATGTTACATCTACATTTCTGTGTTTAAGTCTTTATGGTATTTGCCCATTTATAAAGGGCTCCATTATTATTCGTTATATTTGAATGTTCTTGTTGATTTTCAAAACATATTAGGTATAGATCACGTAATGTTGGTATTATCATGTTTCCTAGTAACGAACAAAAGTATTCCTTTAACGCTGTACAGTCAAATCTACATTCAAAATAGAAAAAGAAAAAAAAAAGGTCAAATATTTATATACACAGTGAGGCAACGAATTATTCTATATATCATTAGGACACAGTTTATAAACATTAGTTGATAAACAGTGTTTTCAAATTCAAATTCATTTCAAATTCATATCATTTCAATAAACGGAAAATCTATTTTAAAATTATTGATTCATTTAATGAATAGATCGAGATCAATTTTATTACTTTCAAAAGAAAATTTTATTCTAAAAGAAATTTATTATTTCAAATAAATGATGAAAAAAAAAAGAAATTAGGTATATTATATCATTTGTAACCAATACATCAAATATAAAACGAATATTCGGAAATCAATAGTATTCGTAATATTTAGTAACGGTTTATATGATATTATATACTGAAGAAAAAAAAATCTTAAATAAACTTTAACAATGATCATAAAAGTTTCAAAATATTTTTCGAACAAACAAAAGAATAATAAAATTTTTCTTTAAATTCCTCCAATTTTAAACTGACCGATGTTCCAAAGTTTCAATAAGAGTAAAACATTTTTTTTATATACATATATATAATATATATATATATATATATAGCTTTACTGTAGATGGCATTAGCGACAAGTAGACGTCGAATACATATATATAAGACAGCTTGGAATACTCTTCAATATTTTGTGAGCATAACTTGATAGTATTAGTAGTTGACTTGTGCCTACATCATATAGTTGTTTCCAATTCGAAACGTCAGATTATAAGCCGACTGATCGTCTTTTAACAGAGGTGGTAATTTATTTTTTTAATAATAACACAAATCAATATATAACAAATATATATATATATATATATATATATAATGAAAAAAGAAATATCATTATGTTTGTTGTAACAAAATATAAGTGATGAAATCATTTATTCTGCAAATTATATTTGAGTAATGTGCAAATTAATGACAGTTATAAACAAGATATTTAATAGAACAACAGTAATGTTTAACATAATTTATATTTTAGATATATATAAAATGAAGTATAATAATCAAACAGTCAAGAAATCACTTAAATATTGTTACAATTTATAAAATAAATTTACAATAGATATGATAATATTATGTTTGTCCAAAGATTTTATGATAAGCATATCTATATTTGAGGTACATTTAAATGTACAGTGAAATTTTATGAAACCCTGACAAGTATCAAGAAATTATTTTATTATTATTTGACGTAAAAATATTTGAACAGTAGGTAAATCTTCTTTAATGATACTTTAATGATACGGAAACGGTTGATATGTTCATTAGATAGGTAAAATACGGAAAACTCTCAATTCCACACATAGACAAAAAAATCAAATTATCTTTCGAGTTTTTCCCTAGCGTCAACTACTCAAATATTTTTAAAAATAATAATCAAAACAGGTGAAAGGGGTGCAGGGTCATACGATCCAGTTTATCTAGTAACGCTCAAGGCAGCATCAGGAGCGGTTGATTTCTGTTTTTGGCAGGATAACACTGCATCGTCTAAGATTCGTGTAAGTAGTACAGCTACATTTCTGTGCTTAGGTCAATGTGGTATTTGTTCATTTATAAAAAGCTTCATTATAATTCGTTATATGTGAATTTTTGTCTTGATTTTCAAAACGGATTAGATATTAATCACGTAATGTTTTTATTATGTTGTCCCTTAGTATCAATCAGAACTAGTCCTTTTACGCTTTAAATTCAAATCTAAATTCAAAATAGCAACAGAAAAATAAGGTCAAATATTTATATACACAGTGAGGCACAGAATTGTTCTATATATCATTAGGACACAGTTTATAAACATTAGTTGATAAACAGTCTTTTCAAATTTAAATTCATTTCAATAAACGGAAAATCTATTTTAAAATTATTTATTCATTTAATGAATAGATTGAGATATATTTTATTACTTTCTAAAGAATATTTTATTCTAAGAAAAATATATTATTTCAAATAAATGATAAAAAAGAAATTACGTATATTAAATCATTTGTATCCGGTACGTCAAATTTAAAATGAATTCTTTGAAACGAATATTCGTAAATCAATATAATTTGCAGTGTTTAGTAACGGTTAATATAATATTATATACTGAAGAAATAAATCATAAATAAACTTTGACAATGATCATAAAAGTTTCAAAATGTGTTTCAAACAAACAGACAAACAACAAAATAAAGCTTTTATTTAAATTCTTCTCATTTTAAACTGACTGACGTCTCAAAGTTTTCGAGAAAAAAATATTATTTTTATTATATACACATATATATATATATTTATATATATATTAAATATCACACATTTTTCCAATCGTTAAATTTTGTTTCTTGAATTTTACAATTTTTTCCAAAAAATAAATACATGAAAAAAAAAAAAAATATATATATATATATATATTACCAAGAGGTATAGAACTTTGCTCCTGCTCTTTTTCTTTTAATTTGTTTTGAAATTCCTGACTGCTTAGGTACTGTGAAACTTTAACTTGGCTTATTTTCACTTTTCATTCCATCTCTTCTCGAGTAATACCCGGGTCTTCAAGTGTCAAACGCACTAATTCTTCAATTACCCGTTCTTTATTTAGTTGTCTTGCATTAGGTTTGTCTAAGTTGAAATCACCTTTCTCGAAGCTTTGATACCATTTATAACATGTTTGACGGGATATAATATCCACTCTATAAACGTATGAGAGTATTCGGTGGGCCTCACCGGCGGATTTTTTACTATTAAAATAATAAAGTAACACTTCCCGCCAATGACGAGTAGTTGGTTTATAATCTGACGTTTCTAATTTGAAATAACTATATGATGTAAACACAAGTCAACTACTGATGCTATCAAGTTATGATCACAAAATGTTAAAGAGTACTTCAAGCCGTTTATAATGTATGTATTCGACGTCTACTTGTCACTAATGCCAACTACAGTAATCTATATATATATATATATTATTACTATATTTAATATATAGGAGGAGTTCACTAACTTCGGACGGCACCTAGCACTAGCCACTCATATATCTTAAAAAATAATAATCCAAAACAGATGAAACGTGTGGTACAGGATCATACGATCCAGTTTATCAATGACGTTTAAGGCAATATCAGGACCAGCTGATTTCTGTTTCGGCAGGAAAACACTGCATCGTCCAAGATTCAGGTATTTTTTACAGCTACATTTCTATGTTTAAGTCTTTATGATATTTGTTTATTTGTAAAGGACTCTATTATTATTCGTTGTATATGAATTTTTTGTTGATTTTTAAAATGAATTAGGTATAGATCACGTAATGTTGATATCATCCTATCTCCTTGTACAGATGAAAAACAGTCCTTTAACGCTGGACAGTGAAAACTGCATTGAAGATAGCAAAAGAAAAGTACGAGCAACAAACCAAAGACGTGAAGGCTAAAGGAAGAAGTGAACTAGAGGGGAAACAAGTCAAAGGAGTAAAAGCTGAGGGAAAAAGTGGAGATAGAGATAAGAAAAAACAGCCACTGTCTGAGATATCTGAAATTGAAAGAACTATTTGCGTAGTGTGCTTAGCGAACTACGACGAAGACTGTATACAGTGTTACAACTGGTATTGGTAAGCTCATGAAGCATGTGCAGACATTTCTGAATGTTCATCATATGTGATCGATGCCGGATGATTTAAAAATTTGCGGTGCTAGTTGTTCGAAGTGAAATCTGTCTGTTACTAGGTGACACTTCCAGCGATTGTATATTTTGACACCAAAGTTTAATTCTTATTTTTAAATTTGTTTATGCAGAAGTTTTTCGGGATGTGTGCAAAATTAAAATGTCTATTTAGATTTCGTAAGATTAGAAAAATAAGCACACGAATCACTTTAAAATATAGTTTGGAAGTTATTTTTAATAATATTTGAAAGATTTCGTTTTAATACATGTGCCATTGATATATTAGATCTACCGGAAAATACTGTCCATTTTGAAAATGAAATAAAATAATAAATTATTCATCATTTAAACAATTAATACTATGGCGTCCGGTGGCTCCACGTTGGTGCCATTCGAAAACTTTTGGATAAGTGCCCCTGGCTCCACTTTGGTGCTATTCAGAAATTATTGCGCAACTGCGATATACTTATATATATATAATAATATATAATAATATAAATACCAGCGCGACAGGAAAAAATCTAGATTAGACGTGCGGACGGCATAGTGTTAATTACTTTAATTACTTTTGAACTATTGCCAACATGGTGGCAATTTGTATATATTCCATTTTAAGAAATGGGGCCTTACCCCCTAGTGACGAAAAATTGAACTAATGTTTGTTTGAACTGACAAAATTTCCAGTAGACTTTATATTTATTAGAAAAGTTTCTGACTTCTCTCTCTTTTAATAATTGCGGTAATCTAATATGCATAATATGCAAACTCATAGAAAATGTAATTACAATCTCCGGCAAGTTGCAACACAATGTAAGATAAACTTAGAAACGAACAAAATGAAAAGTTAATTGAATTATCTTAATGTAAATGAAGGATTGTTTTACTTTTGGTTGAATAAAATTAACCGTAGTCATTAATTATAAAAATCGGTCAAGTTAGACGATTATTTCATTTTTCCGATATCGTTAAAATAACTTTCCAATGAGGGTAAAAAAATAAAAGAGATGATGGGTTATCCAATTACTCAATAACCCTGTTATAAAATATGATTGATGAAATGAAACGTCAATCAATGGTTAAACATAATTATGTATCTCATTAATTTATCATTTTATAATAGTCCAAGTATCGAATTCCTACGAAATATGTCAATGGCTAATAAGATTATCTGTTTTATTATTAAGAAATTTATTGGATTGATTGTAAAAATAATTAGGAAGAGAAAGTGTAGCGAAGCTAACGAGCACGTGTTACTAATGCACATTACGATCGGTAATAATTTTCAGGTATATAGAACCAATCAATTAGTGACTGCTGTAATTGCATCTACAAAATTTATTGCTTGCGATGTAGGAAAAATATAAATTGATAGGTAATCTCAATAAAGGATTATTCAAATAAGCAATTATAATAACTCTCGTATAATAAATAAATATTCAAATAATTTGATATTATTATAAAATATCAAAAAATGAATCACATTTGTTCGAATAATCTTACTTTGGATATAAGGGGTAATTTAAATTTAAGGAATAACTAATATCCAAGGAAGATTATCATTGTACTAAACAATATCAAACAACTTTGTTAGTTAGGTATCACGCTAAAGAGTATTATTAACATCACTCACGTTAGCACGTAAAATTTGGGGTCTTGCCAAACGGTGTAGTCGCTTAACGGCACTGGTTTCACCGTGAAAATGTGAATCTTCGGGCCAACCGATCGATATGTAAAGTTACCCTCTAATTCGACTCGATCTGCATTGGCTCTTAACATCGAAGTCAAGGATTGTCGATCGCACGAACTTGGCAAGCATAAACCCAAAAATACTTGTCGTGGCTGAAAATCAAACGAGAAATCAATAACCTTAATTAACTTTTTTCGATTCAAAAAATGTTAACAAAAATATTATATATTGTAATATAAATAATGTATTTATTATAATATACATAAATAATATATTATTCTATTTTATATTAGGTCGTTCTTTTTTTTGATGACAAGTTAAACAATGTTGCATGCGTAATATACTTTGTTTGTTGTATTTTATATTATTTTATTAAACAATATCGATTCTAACCTATTTTACCTTTTTCTATATTTTCAATTATTTAATCTAAAAAAAAGGAAGAACCTTTTGGGACGACCTAATATATATATATATATATATAATATAATTAAAATTGATAACTAAGATAATATATATTCTTTTCTTTGTTATTTTATTAAAAAGTTATTTAATAAAGAATTATATGAAAAACTTTATTTCGAATTTATTTATCTTCTTTATTCTTAATACGTATTCTTATCTTTTTCCTTCCGCTAATAATCTTACCTTTAACAGAACTTAAAAATATAAAGAGTTGCATAAGCCGATTATCGTTAACGTAGGAACTTACTACTTTCTCTTGAACAGAAGAGAATTTACTTTAGGCTGCAACTAAGTTTAAACTTTCAAGCTTATTCGAATGTATTTAATAACACTGTAAAGCTTCTGTTTCTCTGAGTGCTACCATTATTTGTTATTTCTTCGGAGTCAGAGTCATGGGATAAAATCGTTATGGTAATCTTAAATCTACATCTTATGAATAAGTATGCAATAATAATATTAATATTAATAATACTAATGTTGTTGTTAATGATGATGATGATGATGATGATGAGAATGTGTTTTTTTTTTCAAAACATCTTTCTAGATTTTTTACGTCAATTTAAAAGCAGAAAGATAATTCCCTGAAGGTATATTTTCGATGAAAGATTCATTTTTCCCTTCGGATGTGGGGCTTTAAATCTGCATGAGCGCTCATAACTTAGTTTTCCCTGCGGTTACTATCTTTCGTATATAGTAGAAATCCATTATGGAAGCTAAATTGAGCTTTATCTAGCGTTTTACCCTACTACTCTGTCTTTTTATATTATTATTATTATTATTTTTACCTTCTTTATCATTATTTCACCATTAATATCCTTACTTGGGAATTTTCTTTTCATTCATCCATAACAAATTAATAAAACTTTATTAAAGAAATATTTCCTCCCCTCTAAATAAGGAGAGGTGCAGGATTTAATCCAGCATATAAGAATATAAGTTTAAATGATATTTAAATGAATTCTTTAACACTAGATATACCAGACCAGTCATTTTGACTAGTCGGGTCATTTTAATTCAAAATGTCTACTTCATGTAACATTTGATTTGTGTAAATAATTTTAAAATATCTATAAATCCATTTATCTATTAAAATTATTATTGTTAACACTAATTCTTTAACACTAGATATAGCAGACCAGTCATTTTGACTAGTCGGGTCATTTTAATTCAAAATGTCTACTTCATGTAACATTTGATTTCTGTAAATAATTTTTAAATGTCTATAAATCCATTTATCTATTAAAATTATTATTGTTAAATATTTTTTGTTATTTTTAAAAAGTAAATAAAGATTGAAAGCTTCAAAAAGCATTTTTTTATACACCAGTCATTCCGACTAGTGTGGTAGAAATAAGTATACTGAAAATGATGGTATGTCTAGTATTAATTATAGATTATGAAAATGTTGCAACGTCCAATTTTCATAGAAAAAATAAAATAAAGTTTCCTGTATACACCACAGGATTATTTTGATATTTGATGTTTGATTTTTCCAATATAAATCAAACAATTTAAGCAATTGAGTAATTTTAAAAATGGTGTAAATCAATTTTTAAACTTAACATTAATAATTGAATACTTTTAATTTGACCAGAACATATAACCAATTAATTTTCTCAAAGAAACAGCAAAAAATGTACTTGTGCACCACTTTCAAAAATATAAATTTCTTGAATTATTAGTTCACAGTTTATAACCTTACTGTGGAATTTTCTTTTCATTCAACCATAACAAATTAAAAAACTTTATTAAAGAAATGTTCCTTTCCCTCTAAATAAGAGGAGGTGCAGGATATAATCCAGCATATAAGAATATAAGTTTGTATATTTAAATTAATTTTTTAATCATAAATTATAAAAGTGTAGCAAAGTCCAATTTCCATAGAAAAAGAAAACAGAGTTTCCTGTAGACACTACAGGATTGTTTTGATATTTGATTTTTCAAAATTAAAAGTAAACGACTGTAACGATTGACTCATTTTAAAAGTGGTGTAAATCAATTTTCATACTTGACATAATACTTGAATACTTTTGAATTAACCACAATACATGAGACGTTTGTTTTGAAAGTGGCCTGATTCCATTTTCCAAAAAAATCAAGTTAGCAACTGTAATAGTTACATTTTTACATAATCTTTTTATTCTGAAGCAACTTGTTATTAATATATTACAAAATCATGAAAATTTGCTGATTAATGAAACGATGAAAAAGTTTGTTTTGAAAATGGCCTGACTCCATTTTCCAAAAAAATCAAGTTAGCAACTGTAATAGTTACATTTTTACATAATCTTTTCATTCTAAAGCAATTTGTTTTAATTCTATTATAAAATCATTCAAATTTTGTAACACGAAAATTTGCTGATTAATCAAACGATGAAAAAGTTTGTTTTGAAAGTGGCCTGACTACATTTTCCAAAAAAGTCAAGTTAGCAACTGTAATAGTTACATTTTTACATGATCTTTTCATTCTAAAGCAATTTGTTATTAATATATTACAAAATCATTCAAATTTTGTAACACGTAAATTTGCTGATTAATGAAACGATGAAAAAGTTTGTTTTCAAAGTGACCTGACTCCATTTTCCAAAAAATTCAAGTTAGCAACTGTAATAGTTACATTTTTACATGATCTTTTCATTCTGAAGCAATTTGTTACTAATATATTACAAAATCATGAAAATTTTGTAACACGAAAATTTGCTGATTAATGAAACGATGAAAAAGTTTGTTTTAAAAGTGGCCTAACTCCATTTGTCAATTATTATTTTCCAATTGTCCGTAATTATTCGTAATGATAGAGATTTTGGCATGGTAGAAATGTCATTAAACAAAAATTATTTACCGTTTATCCCCCAAAGATTATTATAATATCAGAAAGTTCCACAAAGTTAATAACTTTATTGTAATTAAATGAAACAAGAAGATTCTTGTATGAACAAAATTATTAGAAAAGGCAATTTTTAAAAAGGTACAGAATTATAACCGAGAATCGATAAACTGATTAAAAATATTTTTAAATACGTTTTGTCAGAAATGAACCGTATCAAATTTTCTATAAAACATCGATGAATGAAAATGAAAATTTAAAAATCATAAATTTATTACCACGTCTGAATAGACCAAAAAAGCTCGACAATATTATATTGACATCACTGTATGAAAATATCAGACAAATTACAACAGCAAAATTCAAGGACATAATGCACCTATTACGACATATATCATGACTTCTTCAAATCCCTTTCATACACTCAAAATGTAAATGAGCAGTAAATTGTTTTGTAATTGCTGTAGTTAACAAATGTTTTGAATCGCATAAATTATGTTTTGTCTAAAGTGTTTTAAGAATATGTAAAATTAATTGAGTATTGTTTCTTTCAATTTGAAGCATCTTAAATTATGTTGAATGGACTTGGGCTCCTTTAAATTTTATAATAAATTTGGTTGTTAATTTTGAAAGTAGCCTAACTCCATTTTTGCTAAGAAAACGTATATTTATTGTCACTATTTTAATAAAAACTATAAATTGAACACCCTTAGATGCAGTATAACTCGTTGGTATATTTTTAATGGCACTGAAAACAAACTCCTAAATGGAGTTAGGCCACTTTCAAAATAAACTATTCATATAAACCTTTAATTTTTTCAAAGAAACAACAGAAAATGGACTCGTACACCACTTTCAAACTGAATGATAATTATTTGAATCATTATTTCTCCATTTATATCTTACTATGACAATTTCTTTTCATTGGTCAATTACAAATACAATTAAACTCACCGGTAATTCAAGTTCCTTAGGCAAAGTCAAGTAGATCCTAGCTACGTGAAAGTTGACTTTATATGGTGGTACACTTTCCGTTCCACCCGTTAGATTTTTCTCTTTCGTAATGTTGATCTCTTTGCAGAGTGTATTAGAACCCAACCAAAAACCATTTCCAAAATAGAATTGTGAGGAATATCGGCCGCTTGCGTCGGACACTGATTAAAACAAAACAAAACAAAACAAAAAATGTACATAATAAACATCGTTAATAGATCGTTGAGCACTTAACGAGGTATTTTATGAAGAAAATAGTGGTTCAGATAATTTGAAAGGTAAATAGAAAAAGAAAGAGAGAGAGAGAGAGAGGTAAAGAGAGTTAACGGATCCTAACGTACGTACGAAGGTTCGATTACGTCGTCTTAACTTGAAAGGTTCATTACCAGTTATGTAAACTCTCGCTTGAACAATTTAAAGCCGATAGTATTGGATAGAAAGTGCAGTATTGCAGTGAACGAGATGACGCCAATTGCATTGCGATGTTTCGTTCCATTGAACTTTTATTTTCTTTTACGTACACACACACATACACACACACACATATACGTACAATTTTATTTCTGTCTATAAATCGATATACTTTCCTTCGATTATCTCATTTTGATTACAATCTACAGACTATCATAATTATTTCGTCATGCTCGATATGTTTAAACATAAATAGGTAATAAAAAGAAAAGGAGGAACATGAAAGCGATAAAAATGAAATGAAAGAAAAAGAAAAAAAAAGTAATAAATAAATACACGTTAAGGTAAAAGTTAGAGTTGTGGATAATTTCACAAGTGTAAGAATGTAATCGTAATAAAACGAGCACGTTGTAACTGACGTAGCTATATTTAAGAATCATTAAGAACGTTATGAAATAATTCATAGCAAGACGCAAAGTTGTTCGAAGAGGGGAAAAAAAGAGAGATTGCTCAATAATGCAACCTAACAACAACAATAACAATCAAATTATGATGTTACCACTATGAAATATATTACGATTATTATTATATTGTGTTAGTTGTTACTATTTTCTAGTTTCTCTTTCTATTTTGTATTTTATTATTGGTTTAAAAATAATGACGAAGCAGTCAATGACCTAGGGAAAATTTCCGTTTGGTTTATTATTAAAAGGATCGATCGTACAACTCGTCTATCTGTCTGTCTGTCTGTCTGTCTATCATGAATAATTGATATGCAGAAAGTGTAAGAGAGTGAGAGAGAGATAGAGAGAGAGAATATTGTGGTATTGTTCGAGATAATCAATGAACACAGCTTAAAGCTCACTATATTCCTTCCTAACACACCTACACACATAGATATATTATTCCGTGACACGTGGAATTCATCGGACAAGTACCTGTGTCATACTCTCTTCTTTTTCTCTCTCTCGAGTTTCATCATCTCGCATCGATACGAGAACTATCGTCTTACGCATAAATTTATGATGTTGAAGAAAGGAAACCTAATACTAGAATAAAATACTATTTTGTAATATTTTACACTATACCTGTACCTTTGAACCAACCTATTTACGTTCACTTTCTTGATTTTTTCATCATATTTTTTTTTAATCTTATGCAAAAGGTCGATTAATTAACATTTACAAGTGTCCCTCTCTTTCTGGTTATAATTTTTTATTTTTTATTGGTTCAAGTGTTTTGTATCTGTCCTCTGTGTGTGTGTATATGTGTGTAGTTTTGTTTTTATTTGCTTTTTCTTTCTTAAACCTCCTATTTTATCTACCTGAATCATATTTTAAATACCATTTGAACACTTGGCAAGCGGGCAACGTGTTTTCACGTTTTTCGCAGTCTGTCACTAGAGCGCGGATCACGTAAAAATACGTATTTAGTAGATTTTTGGTGGATGGCAGATAATGTATAATTAACAACAAAACGAAATGAACAAAAAGCTTAGGTATGTATATAATAAATTGTGCACTTTTCAATGCATATGTGGTATATAATTCAACAAAAACATAAAAAAATAAGATACAAGAAATTTGTGACCGAACTCCTGCGCGATTCACGAAAAAACACCCGCTGCACGAATAACTCGATGGCGAAGTATTCCCGAGTGCCAAGTGATAACTATAATTGACGAGTATACTCGTTATGTATTTATGTCAAATTTCGTTTCAACATACCATTTTAACACTTGGCATGCGGGTAATGTATTTTCACGTTTTTCGCATTCTGTCACTAGAGCGCGGATCACGTAAAAATACGTATTTAGTAGATTTTTTGGATGGATGGCAGGTAATGTATAATTAACAACAAAACGAAATGAACAAAAAGCTTAGGCATGTATATAATAAATTGTGCACTTTTCAATGCATATGTAGTATATAATTCGACAAAAACATAAAAAATAAGATACAAGAAATTTTTGACCGAACTCCTGCGCGATTCACGAAAAAACACCCGCTGCACGCGTAAACTCGATGGCGAAGTATTCCCGCGTGCCAAGTGATAAATCTAATTGACGAGTATACTCGTCATGTATTTATGTCAAATTTCGTTTCAACAAAAAATTGCAAACTACGGAAATTCTTGAACTTTGTAAAATAATTTATGTTACTTATTATAAAAAAGAAAGAAAAATAGGAAATAAAATTTCCCTTTTTGTTGATGCGCTCCATCGATGCGTTGCAAAGGTAAAACTGGGTAATGCAATTTGTTCGTATCATTACCGCGTTAAATTATGGAGTTTCCATAAAGTATCGATAAGTTTTATTGAATTGTGAATTTGATCGATCGATTGTCACGAGATTAAATCTTATTTTGAAATATGTATTTTACTATCGATAATATTTGAATAAAATTGAGACAAGCTACTTACTTTTAGCAGCCCAAAGTTTTCCTTCTTTAAGGGACTTGAGAAACGAATTCATATCCTTCCTACATTCATTCTCAAGTTTTCCGGGTACTCTCTTCCATTTAAGAGGATCGTATAAATCCGAGAGCCATTGAATGCTGTTCGCAGTACTCTCGATTTTATCTTCCATAAAATTAACATCCAAATCTTTAGATAATTCTTCATTCTCAGCTGAAATCTTAACGTGATTTTGCCAATATAATTCAGGATTGTCCTTGCTGAATCCAACGTGAGATTTCATTTCGTTTATTTCTTCTTGATAATCACTGACATTATTTTTCACTTCTGTTGATACAATTTTCTGAGGTTTACTCAATCGTAAAATGTTCGATTCATTTTTTGAAATAACCGAATTACAAAATCCTAATATTATCAAAGAACAACTCAAATATTTCGCCATATTTATTTCACTTTGATATAAGACTAAAGTCAATTCAATTACTATCTATCTTGTTTTGTCTCTTCGAGAAAGTATTAAATGATGTTATACTGTTGAACGATGATGTTGTTTAACGTTAACAAAAATGAAATACCACTGGTAAATTTTCACTATAGATTATTTCATTTATTAATTTATTTGATCGTTCGAACATTCTTCAATTTCGAATCCTTTTTTCCTTTCACTTTTCATTGATTCCTTCTTTCTTTAGTTATATGAGTAATAATTAATCAACTAATTGATTCATTCATGAATAAATCATATCTTCTTGTTCTTCTCAATAATAAACTAGATTTAAAACTTCAAGTTAATTTTTGTTTTCCTTGTAATTTTATTTAATAAAAATGTAGATTTAATACCGTGTTAAAACTTCCGATAAAATTCTTTCGTTAATATCCTCGTACCGTAAAGGAAGGGAACGTTTTGCACATATACGTTAAGTATCACGCACTGAATGATGCGAATCGGCTCACTGCAAATCTGAGACTCTCAATTCCCCTTTCTCTCTCGGCAATGCACTTTACCGTCGATGTATTTCCTTCTTCGGCAAAATGAAGAAATGTCTCCAACGGTGATTGTCCTAAACGTGTTTTCTCAACGCAATTAACAAATATTCGAATTTTAGTTAACAACGAATGCCGGAATGTTGTCTTTGACAAATACGAAACTTGATTATGAATTTAGGATAATTAAATGGAATTTACAATATTTTTTTTTTTTTAGAAATGAACCAATCGAGAGTGGATTTAAAACAAAAAATGTCACTAATATTCAATCATATTTGAATTCTATAATTTATCAGAAATATACCTACGAAATTAGATTCTAAAAATAGTTTGTAATTATGATTGATATGAACAAGGTAACGAATTAACTCTTAGAGTACTATGGACGCATATATGCGTTTGGTAAAAATTATCAGAGTGGTCTATCACGCATATAGACGTGTTTGTTAATATTAATATAAAATAATGTAATGTTTATATTAACACTATGGTGTCCAGTGGCACCACGCTGGTGCTGTGCAAAAATTATCTGTTGTATGCCGGTGGTACCACTTTGGTGCCATTTAAAAAAATAACATTTGAATTATATTTCGTGGGTATTTAGGGGAGCATAATAACTATAAAATCGTGCTTATTTAACCAAGAAAATTTTAGTATAACATATTTTAATTAAAGCAATAAATATTGACGCCATCTTCTTTTTTTTTAAATCCAAAATGTCCAAGCTATTATGCCGACGTCGAACAAAAGAAACATATCTAAGTATTAATTAATGAAATTATATTCAGAAAGAAAAACTTAAATTATTAAATATAATTTATTATTAGAACTTAGTTAATAATAAATTATTCTGTTTCTACAAAACATTTTAGTTAAAAGTATTCAACACTCAAAAGGTTAATAAAGATTCCAAGTGACAACTCTTTGTCTTTTTTAAGTGAAAAATCATCTTGACGATATTTTCTTCTTACGTGAAACCATCAACGTATCGTATCTTTTATTCTTAATGTAAAATACATGATATAGATACGTATACGAAAAGGACAAGAAATATGAGCAGTCGTTTGGGAAATAAATGTCACTATTCCTTTCAAAATACGATAAGGTGAAAAATGAAACATTTTATACGGTTGCTCTTACCGATCTTGTAGCTTTGAAACTTTGGTGACACTTTAAAACAAACTAATAACGAAATATTATGATACTTTTTTGAAAAAGTCAAACTAACCTAATTTTCTAAATTATCATAATAGATATTTTCTTCAATTTCTAAATATTTCTTCATCTACAATTTGATAAAATATAATTATAAAGTTTCATGTATCCATTTCAAACGTGTTTGGTAAGATTTTGATTTACGTAATAGAAAATTAAGAATAAAATGTTAATAAGAAAGATTTCCAAGTATATGTATAAAATTAATGGTAAATTATTACAAAGCTTTCGAAGTTTCTCCAAATGTTTAATAATTCCATTTATTGATTTTTGTTTTGTCCAGTCGTAACATTTCTTCCGTTTTCACTCACATTTTTTTTTTTTTTATATAAAGAACATGGTACTTCTCGAAAGATCCGGTTACGACTTATGCAACTAAGCTTTCTACGTGAACGAACGTATGCGTATACAATTTGCAATAAGCCATAACTCGGAAGTGAAAGATCTCATTAAAATATATATTCTTATTTGTTTATCTTAATTATTATTGATTTAAATATTACAATATTTTATCTCATATCTAATTACTAACAAATATCTTAATAATCCATAATCAATAAAATGTTTCTATCTTTCTAATTTTAGATTATAATTTAATTTTATTTATTTAATTTATAATATACATATTTATAATTATTATTATTGTATAGGATCGTTTAAACAAATCCCGTCTATTTATATAAATATTATATAATATTAATTATTATATTAATTAATATATTAATTAAATTATTAATATTATATAATATTAATAAATATAAATATAATATTAAAATGTTGCCTTTAAATTTTCTTTAAAAATGTGTACGAATTTTTCTAACAAACCTAATATTATTATAAATAAAAATTTAATTATTTATATATAATCGTAGTATTGCAAAATTATTGTAATATTTAAATAAAAGTTTTATTAGAAAAAATACATTGAAATATTTTTAAATTCCTACGTTATCTGATTAGTACAGTAATCACTTATTTGATTAATACAGTAATAGTAATTTCCAAAGTGGGCGCCACCACCCCCTGGTGGCATCTGCAGCAATTCAGGAGGGGGGCAGTAGAAACATTAATACATATATATTGTAGACGATAAAACTAATATTTAGTTCTTTCTTTATATTTTATTTTCTGTTTTAAATATACTATCGATCTTAGTGAAAGAAAACTCCACTCAGAGATTAAGAGGAATATTTTGGCGGGCAATAGATTCCCAGACAAACTTAGGAATTATTGGGACATATTGGCGCGACGAAAACCGTTGTGCAGTGTCGGGTCCTTCGAGTGGTTTCGGATTCCTATGTAAACACATGCGACACCATAAGAAGAAATGATATTCCGTTATTTTAAAATAAAGTTCCTTTATGCATGGTTTCCACTACGATCTTTACCAAAAACATAAGCTCTACCCTTCGATGGACTATAGGGGGTGGATCCTTCTGATATTGGTCAATAAGATTCATAATTTCCTTCCCTCTTCAAAGGGATGTAGCTCATTTCTGATATAAATATGTTAAAGAAAGGTAAGAAAGCGTCTATCTGTCTGTATATCGTCTGTCTGTATATATCCGTCTGTATCTGTCCTTAGTTCATTAATTATACAATCAATCTGTTATATCCGTCTGCGTATTATTTGTTTTATCAGTCATTCTGCAAATCAGTTTATCAGTCAGTCAGTCGGTTTTATATTTGTAACTCTTTTGTACTCTGTATTTTTGCAACCACGCTACTTTTTGTAAACTATTGTAAATACCGCTCGACATCATAATTAAATAAACTATCATATGTTTCTTTCAAAACTTCATATATTAATAACATATATTCCACTTCATTTCTTTGTCTGAACCCCATAATACATTGAAATATTTTTAAATTCTTACGTTATTTGATTAGTACAGAAACAGTAATTCTCAAAGTGGGTGCCACCGACCCCTGGTGGGAGCTGCAACAATTCAGGGGGGGGCGGTAGAAACATTACATATATATTTCCAATTAATTGCTATTAAAATTTAAACAAAAAAAGAATTTCCAGGAGGTGCTAAGTAATATTTTTTTTGGAAAGAGGACAATAGGACAAAAAATTTTGGGAACCACTGGTATACAACATATATATATAATTATGTAAGGGTGAGAGAAAATTCGAGAAGTATGAGAGCAACCATATTTCTAAAAATATTTCCTGATAAGCCACTAAAGAAATGTTATTCTTTATTTGTCATCTATGGTGATATGAGTATGAGTGTGTGTGTGTGTGTGTGTATGAGAATTTATTGTAACTTGAAAAAGATCGTTTCTTTCGGGATTTCATGTGTGTATGTTTGTAAAATGATACCACTTGAACCTATCGCCTAATAGTGGTCATACCGAAACCTCCCGAATATTCCCGATCAGATTCTTATTTATCGGAAATGGTCGGGAAATTTCGACAAAGGAAATAAAGAAATAACGATAGAGGGGATGATGAGCGCATATAGGCGACGAAAAGGACCAATGAGGACGCATTTGATTTTTTGTTAGGTGGTTCGGACAGTTATTTCTTTTCTTTTCTCAACAAAGAATTGTATTTTACAACAGACCTTACACTTAAATCACATAATAGTTGATATATAGCATGGCGTTTGTTTGTGAAAAAGTTTTTAATTGATCTACGTAGTAGTTTTTGATTAGTGGTGGTTATAATATTTATCTAAAAAAATGTGTATATATTTTTAATATTTGTTTATTATTTATAAGGAAGTTTAATGCCATTTTTGTATTTTAATATACTTTTTTGAAATCAATTGGAAAAATATGAAAAGTAAGGAAAAATCCTTCAAGCTCTCTTTTTTTTTTTTTTTAAAACCTTACACTTAAATCACATAATAGTTGATATATAGCATGGCGTTTGTTTGTGAAAAAGTTTTTAATTGATCTACGTAGTAGTTTTTGATTAGTGGTGGTTATAATATTTATCTAAAAGATATATATATTTTTAATATTTGTTTATTATTTATAAGGGAGTTTAATGCCATTTTTGTATTTTAATATACTTTTTTGACATCAATTGGAAAAATATGAAAAGTAAAGAAAAATCCTTCAAGTCAGAATGGCCGAGCGGTCTAAGGCGCTGCGTTCAGGTCGCAGTCCACTCTGTGGGCGTGGGTTCGAATCCCACTTCTGACACTTATATTTTTTTTTCTTTTTTAATATAAATAATATTTTTTATGAATAATGTTAATGTTTAATATGAATAAAAATGAAAGGATGTATCAAATAATATATCACAAGAAAGAAAATGTTCACTTGCTTAAGAAAAGTTACACAATCGTATATATTTATAATACTTATTATTAATTATTTCTATTGAAATAATATTTATTGTATTTATTAATAATTTGATCGAATTTTAATGAATAAATTATGTATAATTAATTGAACTACTAGATTCAAATTATTTTTTGAATATATTTCCCGCGTTTACTATTCTATTAAGGTTCCATCTATCGGAAGATGATAACAACTTTCACTTGGACCGGTTCGCTAACGAAATCTTCGTAACCTGTTAAAAGCAGAAGGTCGAATTAAATAAAATATATTATTAACCTTTTTTAACACGTCCTTCGTTGTTTGTTAATTAAAAATTCATTAAAGAAAAAAGTATATCAAATTCGAGTTTTAAAATGGAGGAAGATAATGAACAAGAAATAATAGTCGAGGATGACTATTACACATTTCTCAACATCCCCAAAAATGTGAGAATAAGTTTAACAAATTCCTATTTACTTTAGGATTTTCCAGCAAGAAATTATTTCCAATTTCTTCACGTGACACCTTTCTTACAATGCCTGACGTAACTAAACATACGTTTTTTTTTTTTTCATCTTTTTCATTTTTTCTTTATAACATTTATTAACAGATAAAAAAAAAATTCTGATGAAATGTTTTTTATTATGAAATCTTGAAGTTGTATTACTTTTGATTCAAAAAATGCCGAAAATGTCGTTGACAAAAATATAAATGACATAACATGAATGAAACATTTTTCTTTACATTTATTTGTTGTTGTTAAGAAAAAGATTCAACTTTTTCAATTGAATGAAATTGAAACTATTAACATTTAATGAATACTTTTAAGTTAATGAGAAAAGTGTTATTTTACAATGAACCAATGACAAATATCATTTTATTAAATGTTACAAAAATTTGATTGATAGGCTACTCCAGAAGAAATTAATAATGCATACCGTAGACAAAGTAGATTATATCATCCTGACAAGCATGTCGATCCAGTGCTTAAGAAAGAAGCTGAAGTATTATTCAATCGTACGAAAAAAGCATATGAAGGTAAGCATTTCTCAATTTTGTTTGTATTATAAATTAAAAGTATTACTTAATTAAATATATATTTTGTATTTTTGTGTATTTCAGTTCTTAGTGATCCTCATAAGAGAGCAATTTTTGATACTGTTGGAATAAAAGGACTGGAAACAGAAGGATGGGAAATTGTTCAACGTACAAAAACACCGTCTGAAATAAGAGAAGAATATGAACGATTAGAAAGGGAAAGACAAGAGAGAAGACTTCAAGAACATACAAATCCAAAAGGAAATGTAACTGTGTATATTAATGCAACAGATTTGTTTAGTAAATATGATGAAGATTACGATAATAGGTAATGAATATTATCTCATTGATATTAATTCAATTGTGTATTAATTCAATATAATATTGAAATATTTTCAATCATTTTCTAGTTTCGATATATTTTCATCTATTGAAGTCAGTGGAATGTCATTTACACAATCTATTGAAGCACCTCTTACTTTAAAAGATACTGTAACTTTATATGGTTCTTTAGCTACACAAAATGGAACTGGTCATGGAACCATTAATGTTTCTGCCAAAAGATTGGTGTCTTCCAAAGGATGGTTGGAATTAGATGTAGGTGCAGGCAATGGTCCGACTGTATCAGTAAAAGGATTTCGAACATTAACAAAAAGACTATTTTGCGATTGTGAAACAATATTACAATTTACAGCGCACGGTGTGAGACCAGGTCTTGCTGGAAGTACGTTTTGTTATTACTTATAATGATCGTTTCAAAACTTTTAACAAATTCTGTATAATTCTATGAAAATATTGAATATTCAATTTTTCTTGTTTTACAGCTTTAGCTATGCAATTAGATAAACATACGGTTGGATATCTGACGTATAGAGCAGGAATTCAAAGTGCAATGAGTACAATGCTTGTAAGAGACACATCTCGTACTTATACATCAGTTTTAATACACTTAGGCATTGTACATTCTTACATTAATCTTAATTATGTATATAAAATGAAAGAAAAGGAGCTCAAAATACGTGGTAATATACGGTTAGTAAGAAGAATTATTATTTTTTATATTTTCTCTTTATACTCTTACTCAAAATATATTTCATTCTTTCATACAGATTAGGTACATTCGGCGCATTTTTAGAATACGGTCTCGAAAAAAAAGTTTCTCGTCATAGTTCGCTTACAGCCGCTGTACGAATTTCCATAACAACAGGAGTTACATTAAAAATCAAATTAAATCGAGCATCACAAACATATGCATTTCCAATTCACATAAGTGAAGAACTTCTTCCAGCACCTGTTTTCTATGCAACTGTAGTACCATTAATAACGTGGACTATTGTCAAAAAATTTGTTGTTGATCCGATAGTCAAGGAGAGAAAGGAACGAGATAAAGAGAAACAAAAAGAAATTAATAAAATAAGAATGTTAGCAAAACAGAAAGAGGCTAAAGCTGCTATTGAATTAATGAAAGCTACATTTAGTAGAATAAGAGCAGAAGAAGAATCTAAAAGAGGATTAGTTATAACTAAAGCTTCTTATGGGCGATTTGTTTATCCTTTGCAAGATAGATTAACTGTGGAAGAAACTAGACGTAACAGAGATGAAGTCATAGATGTAACAATTCCTTTGCAATGTTTAGTAAGAGATTCTAAACTAATTCTTCATGATACATCTAAGGTATTATATATTATAAGAAAGGTATATTGATTTTTTTTTTATTTTTTTTTGCAATTATTTATCATTATATTTTGATCAATCGACTTATTTCTTATTCTATTTATAACAAATCATAAATTGTTATATTACAGAGTCAGTTACCTGGATTTTATGATCCATGTGTTGGAGAAGAAAAACAACTTTTAATACAGTATCTTTTTCATAATCAAACACATGAATGTATTGTAAAAGATAGAGAACCTCTAAGGATACCATTACCTTGTAAGAACTATATTATTTAATATTATATGATGTAATATTAGAAAAATATAAATAATTATTTTTAATATTTTTCAGCACACAAAGTAAATACGACATGACGTACAGAACAAATTGAATATACGAAACGATGCCGTCATATTCTGCATTGGTCACGTTAATCATTTTGATCAGATTTTGTTGAATTTTCAAAAAGACAACATTACTTTTAGAAAAATCTATCATTTTCATGAATATTTTGGTAAATACTTTGTATGTTTTTATTTGTTCTTAATAATGATGTTCTTATAATATGGTGTAGCTCTATCTCAGTTGTATTTATTAAGAAATTAATTCCATATAATATATATATTATTAAGCGAATGTGGAATATCAATGCACAAACAAATTAATACGATCGATTTAAAACTTATTTCGGCATCGTGTAAGATTAAATTTGTACGTAATTATTATCATTACTTTTCGTCGAAGCAAATAACTGCCTTTAGAGAAATACGAAAATTGATAAAATAAATTCAAATATATGAAAAAACTTTAGAAAATGACCGACATTGAAATAATGTCTGGGTTAATAAAAAGAAACACTAGTTTACGATATCAGTAATTAATGTATAGAATACTTCTTCGATTGAAGATAGTATACACGTATGTAATTATGTAGATAATATTTGAAATTTATGAAAATATAATAAGCAACAAGAATGGTAGTATTCTAATAATAATAAGAAGATGAAGAAGAACAAAATTGAATACTACTTTTATTGAATAATATAAGTTTCAAATAAATTCTGCTTTGTTGAATTAACTATGATTTGTAATTATTTATGTATTTTATGTTGTTGTTATCAATCTTTTATTTTAATAGAAAGTGTTTGCAAACTACTACTTAATTGCTTATTATCCGCTAAGAGTTTATTAAAAATATTGAATTCATTATCTTTATCATGAATATTGGAAAAAGGTGTCCACGAATGATCCTCTTCTAGTCTGTATGATCCTTTATAAGTTTGAGATGGGCCTGAAGTACCCCATTCCTATAACATACAAATATTCAAATAATTCTAACATAAAGTTAAAATAGAAATTCATTTTGAATACTTACTTGTGGACTAATTCTAGAAAAATAACATTGACCAGATTCACGTTCATATAAATGATATACTTGGCCAGGTACTTTTACGAAATTACAAGCAACGTGATTTAATTTCATATTCCTATCAATTTCTAATAAAATATTTTCAGCTTGTTTACGAAGAAATCTCATTTGTTCTGTAATAACTTCCAACTTATTGTATGCGTTAGCTTTGACAAAACTGTCAGCCTATAAAATGTAAACAATTTATTTTTTATTTTTCTGTATGTTAATAAATATATATTTTTTCTTTGATAAATACTTTTTCTATTTCTCTTGCTAATGCAACCAAGTCTCCCTTTGATGATTTACTTGTAGCATTTGGATCCACCAGTGGTATACCTTGAGGTGCGATATTTCGTTCAACAAGGGCCACTATTAAAATATAAAATATTAAAATAAATATATTTCATATAAATTTAAAAAAAAAATAAATACATTTATTGGGTAACTCCTCGCTGCTGTCCATTTTTATTTTCCTTTTCATTTAAAATATCAAAAAAGAAAGACACATGATAAACTTCAAATCATGCCAGTCTAACAATCATAACCTTAAAAAATATCTTTAACCCCCCCACTACTGCTTTTCATATACGCTCTTGAAAAGTGTATGTGTGTGTGTGTTTGATTTCATGAAAACGACTATATCAACTTGATTATTAGGTTACACGAGTAAGAGAGAGACAGAGAGAGGAATAACCTAAGCAAACATAAATTGAACCAATAAACCGCATGGTGGAGACACTGTTTCTTACTTTCGTTCGTTGTTCATATTTTGTCCATACTTATAACCTAATGTGACTCAAATTTCGAATGAAAGGTGATTAAAAAGAAGTTTATTAGAAATGAAAGTATAATGAAACTACGTAGAATAGTTATAAGATATTATTTAATTTTACGACAACGAAATAAAATAAAGTGAGTCACACAGAAACTTGAAATATATTTTTAAGTGATTCATAAATAATACATATTTATAGACAGTTTATATATGGATGATACAAATTCACATTTGCAAAATCAAGAACGAATCAGCTGTTGTGTATACATAGGTTATAATACCGTTAAATGTTTTTTAATTATTAAATGATAATGAAAGTAATTGGCATAGAAGAAAGTAACAAATAATCAAATCAATATATTAATTTGTGAAGAATTAATTTTGTACGAAGGAAGAATAAGTTTTTTTTTTCGTTTAAATGTTTGTTTAAATTCTGTGAAATATTATTATCAGTTATTAAGAAATCCTTAACAAGGAAGAGACTTTAAAACGTGGAATGGATTATGCAAATGTCGTTGACGAAGCCATCAAGCAGTTTTATGCTGGAGGAAACAATGAAACTCACAATTGGTTGCTACAGGTTCAAGCCTCCCCCGAGGCTTGGAGTTTTGCATGGCAACTTCTTCATCCTTCAAAGGTCAATACAAATGACCTATGATACTTATGTTATAGTATTATTATTGATTAATTATATAATATTAATGATTGCAGTCATGGGAAGTGCAGTTTTTCGCTGCCACAACGTTACATGCCAAAATATCTAAACAATGGGAAGAAGTACCTAAAAGCGAATATCCAATTTTACAAGCACGTTTACTCAATAGTATTAAACAAGAAAATACTCCAAAGTTTGTTCTTATAAAACTGTGCCAATCGGTAATTTGTTGTATTATTTTATACTACAGTTTATATAACATATAAGGTATTTTCTAAAATATCGTGTATCAGGGCTTTTTAAACTTTTTCATTTGATCACGTGACTCTGAGCATAGATTATACTATTTTCTTTGTTATCTTAAAAGAAATATCTTATCAGACATTGTAAATAAATAGATAGAATAACAAAAGACAGCCGGGCGCCGTATCAGCGCCGCTCGAGTTGCCATTTAAATTTATCGGGCACCGTATCAGCGCCGCTCGAGTTATCATTTAAATCTATCGGGCGCCGTATCAGCGCCGTTTGAGTTACCATTTAAATCTATTCTCGAGTAGAAAAGGTTAAAGATATACAAACAATTTCTACAACATTTACGTTTGATATGTAATAATAAACAAATATATATTTACAGTTAGCCGCATTTATGGCATATAGCTATATCGAACCTGAAAATAGAAACAAGGAGAAAAATTTAGTCGAAGAAGTAATGGAAGTATTACCATACGATTCGGCATCTAAATTAGAATTGTTATTAAAAGTATTATCTTACATACCTGGAGAGGTAATTATAAATCATTTAAATAAATATTATAATGTTTACATTATATTTATACATTTGTATATTATGATTTTATTAGTTCGAAGCAAAACAGAATATAAGAAAAAATGCTAAAATTAGGGAAGGTTTAATTAATAGTTGGCAGAAAACAGTCTGGCTTTTACAACAAGTCTTTGCATCATTTAATCCAATGGCGCAGGACAATAATACATTATATCTTTTGGGAGCAGATTGTACTCTTTCTTGGCTTAAAACTGGTCTATTACCTCTCGAAATAACTGGACAACTTTATCCTTATTTATTAGCTGCTGCAGCACATTATGCACCACTTAGGTAAATATATTCATAGTTTATAATATTTGTATATATCAAACACGTTATATATAGAACTTGAATTTGTATTAAAGGGAAGATTCACACGAGGACAATACTGAAAGTTGGGAAACGGTACAAGACTGTATAATTATGATAGTGACGCATCCTGATTTATACAAAAGGCCACAAACACTTTGGGAATGGGCAACGAGTTTAGTTAAAATGGCGTTGGACAATAAAGAAAAATCTTTTTGTGAGATTTTAACGTCTATGGGAGAAGCTTATAGTAGATCATTTTTACTTGCTCTCGCAGGTGAAGGAAATGACACACAAAAATGGACTTCTGAAGGATTAATCGAATTACTGCTGGAATGCGCTGAACAAAAAGGACGATATCCTACAGATGAAATTCGTAGTTGTATTCCATTTGGATTTTGGTTTACATTACAGGACGATTTAGGTACAATTGATCCACCACTTGAAAATAAAGCGATAGATGCTTTAAAACCAATATATGCACGATTAGCAAATGCATTGTTAAGGAAATCAACGTTACCTTCGTCACCAAGTGAAAGTGGGGATGCTGACGAACAAGAACTTTTTCGATGTTATAGACAAGATGCTGCAGATACATTAGATTATTGTTACAGAGTTTTAGGTGAAGATTTATTAATAATTCTTGGACGAAGATTGAGCGAGCCACTTGACAATCCAGAGAAATGGGTTGATGTAGAATCGACGTTGCATGCTTTCGAAGCATTAGCAGACAGAGTTGGTTTGAATGAATGTCATTACATTCCTGCTTTAATGGATTTGGTTGTATATCATATACCTTATAATCTTTATCCCCCAGAAGTAAGCATTATTTGAATATTAAATAAATACATGTTATATATTTGAAATAATTATTAATATATTTTGTTTCTATTGTAGGTACTTGCGTGTTCTTGTTCAACAATGGGTGCATATGCCGAATGGATAGGAGAAAATCCTGATCCTTGGCTCGGAAGAGTATTACAACTTGTGACAATGGGTCTTTGGAAAGGTCCAGTTACAACACCTCGTGCAAGTATGGCACTGAAGGATATAACAAGAGAATGTGGGTCATATCTTGCACCATTTGCACCAAGTATTCTTAATACAATAGGACAAATTCTTCCAAATGTAACGTCAGAAGGAGGAGAAGGTCAACGCCTTATGTATGCCGCTGGAAAATTATTAAATACACTTGCTACGGTTGAAGAACAATTAACATACTTAAATGCAACATTGGGCCTATGTATAGTGAAAATAAAAGATTTGTTGAAACAGCCAATAGTCACAGTACGTTTAGCGGTTACGAATCAATTAAAAATGGCAACTATGCTATTTGCAACTTTGGAATCACCTATAGGAAAGACTGTATTAGATGGACTTTTGCCAATATTTAATGAAATTATAACACATCCTGAATGGAGTCAAGACAATGTTACATTAGAAGCAATGTATCAATGTATGCAAAAATCATTGTCATGTTTACCAAATCCAGAAATAGATGCGCGTCCTTTACTTACTATTTTATTAACTTCTTATAAAAATTGGCCCCATCCTGCTGCATTAAATTTATTGAGTCAACTGGTGATATTATTTGGCAAAGATCGAAACAGCGTTATATGGCCTGTTTTTGCAGAAATAAGTTCTCTAACGTTACGTGGTATCAAAACATGCCAATCAGTACGTGGAGATTTATCTGAATGGTCTGATTTGATGGAAGCATATTTATCATTACTTGCACAAATTTGTAAAAAGAATGGTGAAATGTTACTTCAAGTGACCGATCAAATTCCTGACATGCTACGATGTGGTAAAATATTTCTTTTAATTCATTTTAATGTGAAAATATAATGAAAATGACACAATAATTATATTTATTACGTTTTTTTTATTTTTTTAGGTATGACTTGTTTAGTACTTCCAGAAACAGCGACACCAAAAGCAGCAGGTAGTTTTCTAGTCCATGCTATTATGGAAACTCCACGTTTACAAAATTTTATCCGTCCGATTGGACAAGAACTAGTTTTTATAATTCTACAGTGTGTTGGTATGATATAAAAAATTATTGTTTTAATATTTTAACAAATTTTTTATTATATCAAATGAAAATGATATATATATATATTTATCATTTTAGGTGGAGAAGGGGTTCGAAACTATTCAGATTCTCATGCTGATGTTTTATGGGCATTAAATAGAATGTGGTCATCTAATATATCAGAATGGCTTCGTGCTTCACTTGAAAGTCAAAATGGACCTGTAGTTAGTAATTGTGATAAAGAAATTTTTATCCGTGCGGTTTTACGAGAACGATCAAGTAAACGTCGATTTTATATCCTGTTGAAAGACTTTAGTCTTAAGTGTCGGCAAAAAACTGTTGGACTGTAACAATGCGCTTTTTCGAATAGTTTTAGGCGTACAAGAATTTAGTAAGAACTAATAATCATGAATAAATTATATATATATATATACACATATATACATATATATTATGATTTTGTAATATTAATAAATTATAATATATATATGTATATATGTATATCTATATATATACCTATATATACAAAATGTAAGAATTTTTTTTTCTATGTCAAAAAAGACATATTTATATGTATATATACATATATATATATAAATATATTTTTGACTTAATTATTTAATTAAAATCAATAATTATATTAGCACACAATGAAAGTAAATTTAATTGAAATGAGTGACTGTATGAAATATTATTTTTATTTAACCTGTATGTATTTCAAATTATTATTTTGTATATTATAAAATGTCATTGTTTGCAGTTAAATCACACGTCTTTTAAATTAAAGACGACTGCTAACAAGATTCTTTTTTTTTTTTTTTTAGTTCTAATACAATCTGTAGTATTTGTTATATACTGCTAATTTATGTTTAATGCAACATGAAGTGTTATTAGTATTTAAGTATAGTATGATGATTGTCAGTGTACCTAAACGAAAGACAAAAGTAAAAAATTAGGAATGTAAAAGAATGTATCATTTCAGGATATAATAGTTTTACAAAAAAAAAAAAATGCAATAAAGGGTATATGTTTTTTGTGCATTTGCATTCTGAAAAAGATACATTCTGATTATAGTCATATACAAAAAAGGAAAAACAAAATAAACAAAAGAGCAAGTATATATTCTGCCACTTGTAAAGATTATACATTATAAATTTTTTACATTCGCAAAAATATCAAATTAAATGTAAAATTCACTGTTCATCTTTTTCTTTTGTCCCATTACACGATCAAAATAAAAATAATATTTTAAATGAATATTATCTTAATTTCACAATTTCATTAATTGATATTTTAACCACTTGTCTTACAAAAACGTGCCACACACGTCAATCGACCTGGTAAACACGTGGTAAATAGATTTATATTATTTTTATGATATTAACCACCAATATTTTAAAATGAAAAATAATAGTAAAATCAGTGATATTGTTTCGACAAGTGAAATATTGTAAACAACCGTGAAGTTAAATTGTAGGACAAGTGGTTAACTAAAAATTATCTGTCTTCATGATCACAATTTTTGTTAATATTTTCTCCAAAACAACAAAAGTTGTTGATTAAATAATAAAATACATTATTTTCATCATATACTTTCGTATAGTTACATATAATACAATAACTTAATTGTGTTCGAACAATGATGAGCATTAAAACTTTAAACCTCCGTTTACAAATATTATTCACCCCGTGCAAGCATGCATCCGGACGGAAAGTTTCATTTGTATACCGAGACTTTTCTAAATAAGAATGATTGTGTGACAAATGTTTTATAAAAAAAACTGATAAAATAAATGAGCCATATATATTCTACACATCTTGCAGAGAAATAGAGAAACAAATAATGAGTTCTATTGGATAAATACAATTATATTTATGTATATATATATATGATGTGACACCCTAAACCACTTAAATTAAAAGTCTTTACTGTCCACTTCCATTAGTCGCTGGAGGTGAAACAAATTTGGCAGCAACACGTGACCGTTTAGGTCTTCCAGATTTCGGTAATTTTGGCGAAGGTTGTGAATTATTTTGTATACGTACTTCTTTTTCAAGAGTTTTGTTAACGTTTTGTTGCGTTTTCGGAGGCTACACAAAATATTTGCAATATTTTTATTCAATAAGACTTACTAATAAAAAGAGTATGATTAATAATATTGAAACATACCTTAGGGAACGTTTCTTTCTTTTCTGGTTGTTGTTTAGTTGATTGTTTGTTAGTTGATTGAGAATTACTTGCATTATTTTGCAACGTTTCCTTGTTAGTTTGTCTCATATTAATTTTCCTACTTTTCTTTTGAGCTTGCAACGGTACAAATGACGTAGCATTTTTCACTTCGGATTTTGGTTCATTATTTGTCGTTTGTCTCTCTTGTATTTGAATTTGAATATTATGTGGTTGCGGTGGCGGTGGTGGTGTCATTAAGGGAAATCCTGGATTTTGAGGAACTTTCATATTCCATTTTGAACAATGTGCTATTGGATTTTCTGACGTATGATAAGGTTTCGACATATATGGTAATACCACAGGGGGTGGTCTTATATTTTGTAACCAAGGATTATTTTGTCGCATATTAACCCACTGTTGCGAAGGTTTTAATAAAATGTTTGTATCAGGCTTCTTTATTTTATCTAAATTTAATTCCTACATAATAGAATAATGTTCATTAATAACATATATATGAAGGAATCATCGTATTTGTTAAATTGCATATAGTTTACCTCATATACTTTTTTTGCAACATTTTGTGTTGCCTGTGGAATATTCAAACCTGGATCTCCTATAAATACTTTTGCATCTGGTAGAATAATTTGAGCTTGTATCAAGGTAGTTTGTTTATATACAAAATAATTATATCTTGGTACACCCAAACCAAGCATTTGATAATGATTTAATAAAAGTGTATAATAACAAATAGAATTTTTGTTATCTTTGATTTCTTTTCTTTGTTGTCTAGCGTACTGCAAATAAAAAAAAAAGAAAACAGAATTAAAATCAAGAAAATTTGACAATGTTACTTACAATGGACAATCATACAAATGTTAATGGAAAATTGTGTTTTAAGCATAAGAACAATATTATGCTTACATCGAATAATTTTTGAACTAATGGCGGGGCATCCGATGATTTTGGGGTTTGAGATTGATTTTGATTTGTGGAAGTACCACTTGATTTACTTGGTAAATTTATCTTTGCGTTGTCATCAGATATTTTCAGCACTTCTTTCAAAAAAGCACTGGGATCTTGTGACTGAAGGTTAGAAATATTGTTAGGATAAATTAATACTAAACTGATTTATATATAATATAACAAAAATTCAACGAGGGATAAAAATTCGGTTGGTTTAGTGTTTACAAAATGTTCTTTCTAAAATAATAAACCTTCCTTGATATAAATGAAGAATATTATTAAAAACAAAAAAAAATTCTATAATAAAACAAATAAATATATTCTTACAGCACAAAAGCGATAATACAAACATAATATCGATAACAATGAATAATAATATTATCATCATTTTACATAAAATACTTACTATTTGTTTATTTTTTTCATTAGATTTCAAATTTGACGAAATTTCAGTCATTTCGTTAGATTTAACGATAATTTTGGTGGGAGTTTTTGAAGATCCACTTGAATCCTACAAAAAATATATAAAACATTTATTAAATGTGTACAAATATTTTTAAGAAATTATTTAAACTGACCTCCTTTTTATGTAATTCATTCCATAATTGTTGAAATTCTGAAGATAACGGCTTTGATGTTTTTAATTCATTAGAAGGAGGCTTATTCTGTTGTGATGTAGGCTTATTATTACTTTGTATTTGAATTTTTGTATTTTGATGTCGCCTCCAAGACATCTCTGTTGGTTCATTGGATGTATTTTCCATTCCTGATTTTCCATGTTCTACTCGTTCGCCATGACTAATGTTAATAAAGTCAGTTATTGCTAATTTGTAACCACGATTCGCGGAACATCCATTAAAAGTTAGTCCACCTTTATAAATGAACAAGAAAATTAAGTAGATAAATCTTGAAAGAAATATTGGTGAAGAAACTTTGACTTACCTAAAAATGATTTATCAAATAATACATCATAAAAACTATCTATAGTGATCTTTGCTTCTTGAATTCCTATTATAGTTCCTTTATAACCAACTGGTACAGTAAAACTTCCTCTAACACAGACAATTCTATCTAATAATCTTGTATGACATTTTGGATCGGGGGCAAGTTGACGCGAATATAATTCAGGATTAAAAAGTAATTGTGGCTTCACTTGCATAACTATTTTATTTGAATGATTATATGCTTTGTTATATTTATCCACTTCTACTTCTATTTTTTGTACTATTTCTGATTCCAGTACATTCATCCCACATGGACGACTCTCTACTCCTCGAAAGTGTTGTTCTTTTAACCAAGCTACTATGCTACTTAGATCTGACCTATAAAAATATAGAATATGTATATTAATGCATTACAGTAATTATGTGATAAGTGAAATAATAAACGTACGATTTATCAAATAGTTCTTCCTCGCTGTAAACATCGACCGTAATATTTTGAGCCAATCGTTCAAATAAATTAGGAAACTTTGCCATGTAATCACGAATAAGTTCAATAGCTCTTTTACTGTACAACCATTGACCATAACCATATTCTTTTTTGGTATAGCCTGGTACCTGTTAGATGTTCATATTTTTTTAGAATGATTTTAGTTTTATCAATGAATTATGGTTTCACACAAAATTACTTACTTCTTCATTTCTTTTATTAAACTTTAGATTTAATCCAATGTTAATAACTTCTCTTGGATTATTCTGAGCTATATAAATTGTTCCAGTAATTCTACTTAAAAGATGACTACTTATTCCTAATCGCTGAGCAGCTGTGCTACCATAAATATATTGTGTTTTTGATTCTGCATATGCTTGTTTTACAGCAGTTAAATCCGGTTCAGTTACAATTTTTACAGATATTTTTATTCTGCCAGAGTTTATATTTGCCTTTGGTCCAACGATCTATTTTATATATATAAAGACATATATAAAATATAAAGAATATAAAAAATATGTTAAAACAAAAATAATGTATTAAAAATACCTCTCCCATTGCACCATAATGCGGATGGCCTAACATAAAACAAGTACTTCCTGGTGTAAATATTTCATCGATTGTTTTATACATAGGAACAACAGAATTTGTAGGAATATCTTTAAGTATAGTTTGATAAGCATAAAACGTTGGTATCTCTTGCCACTGCTTTTCTACAGACAATTTTTCTTTTGCTGCAAAAATGTATTTACTGCCTATTAATGGTTGTGCATGAATTAAAATATTAGTTTTTCCAATGTCTATACCAAAACGATTTAGATACCTGTTCATACAAAAATAATTTATGATACAAAATAACTTGTAAATGAGCTTGATAATAATCAATTATTTTTCTTACGTTTCATTAATTGATTTGATTTCCGAATTCCATTGAGTTGCACAAGCTCCTTTTAATTCTTCTTCTAATATATTATTAGAAGAATATCCTAATTGTGGAACGATTAAATGTATTTTCTTTTTAGAATCTGATACACCAACTACGTGAGCTTCTCGTAAATAAGGCCACTCCACATAAATGGTTTTATTTAATAAAGAGGCAGCAAGTTGTTTTATATTTGGTTGTTCCTCTTGTTGTTGTATATATAAAATCATATTGTCATTTCTTGACGGTTGTTCAAATATTTTCACCTATGAAATAAATAAAGAAAATGTTAGAACAATAAATGAAAGAAATCTTAATAACAGATATAAATAAAATACCTTAGCTTGTTTTAATTCTGCTATATGTTGAATATATTTTAAAGTAGGAAATCCAAAATAATATACATCTAAGTTCACACGTGGATGCAGTCCTTTTACTAATTTTTCTTTAGGAACATAGATATCTTCACGATTTATTATTTCTACATGACTATGGCTTTCAATTACAGATACATTGCCAAGTGTATGACATAAACCTAAAACATCTTTATCGTACGAATACATATACATTGGACCATGCTTATTTCTTTCACGTTCTTCCTCTGTCAATTTTTCATAATATGGCTTCATAGCTATCGACAAATATTTCATCACATTGAAAAATGAATTATTTTTTCTAAATTATATATTAATTTGATATAAATATTATTATTTACCATTTGTTAAAAGTTTCTCATCGATAAATGGTATGAGTACAACAGCTTCCCAGTCTTGTTTCTTGCCATTTAAATCAGTTTTAAAATCAGATGGATAATAATCAATAATAGGTGATTCTTCTTCAACTAATAATGACTGCAATGGCTCTGGTAACAATTTTCTGCTATACGGTGGTAATACTGCTAATAATTGTTGGAATGGCTGAAATGGTTCTCCCAATTCAAACTCCAATTTTAAATCTTTAAATCCTTTGATATCCGAGATGTATGGAGCATAATGGTGCGGATAATACCATGACCAACTACAGCATCCATCGTAATAGTAATGTAAATTCCATTGAATTGCTCTTACATATACTTCTGCTTGGGATCGTAGAACATCTCTAAAAAGCAACTGCATTGTATAAATAATTTTCAAAAGAATGTTCTCAAACATTCGTTGGTACAATTAAAATTGAATATTATTTCAATTCATATGGAATATACGTATATAACAAAAACACTTACTCATTGACATCTTCATATTCTAATTTATTCATATAATAATCTCGTTTATGTAAAATAAATTCCGTATTATATGTGTCACTGTCAGACTCATCATCTAATTCATCTTGAGAATACTTTGCTTTCTCATCATCTGAATCTTGCTGTAAAGTAAAATATTAAACAAAAGTTATATTATATAATTCAATCTGTTTATAAATATTTCAATATATATATATATATATACATAAAATAAATACCATTTCCATATCTACAAAAGGTTTTAGTAGATCATCAACTTTTATCGAAGGAGAACAAGTTTGTGAAGAATCATCATCTTTTAAAGACATTTGTCCATCACTTGTTGTATTCTTATATTTATTTATTTTAGCTTCTAAATATTTAAAATCACAGTAATATTCTGCAAAGTTTTCTACATCAATGCGACTAAGTCGTTCCATGAATACTTCAAAACGATCTAATCTTAGTTTTCCCGATTCGTTTATATAACCTAAATTGATAAATTTGATGATAATTATACATATTTAAATATATGTATATATGTATTATTTAATATATATATTATATACCATCTAAAGTTGGCAAGACTTCCATATACGCATGATACAAAAGTGGTAACGCACCACTATGAATATTTAAATTTGGTAAATTGGGAATAAAATCATTTCCCACAAGAAAGCCCATTAATACCCAATCATCGATAATGTGTTCAATGTCAAAAGGAAAAGATAATTTATCTTTGATTGGTGAAAATTCATGACTTAAATAATCCCTTAATAACGACAAATGAAGAAGACAAAATTTTGTTTCTTCCGGTGTCAAAACCCTTTTTTGCTTTTTTCCAAATTTAACTTCTTCCCTTAATAATGAAAAATTTCGTTCGTGTGTACAAAGACCTAACATTATTAAGTCTGCATCTAGGCCATATAAACAATGCCTAGTATTGGGATTATAATTTTCTTGTGATTTTAAATATCGTATATAATCCATGATTTTGTGTTCTCCTTCACCTACTACCTAAAAAATATTTCAAAATAAATATTTTATTTATTTCTTGTTTTTGTTTCATATGAATATATTAACCCATTACACTCTGAGTAATGATTACCTCTGAACCACTGAATAATATTTTACATTTTTGCCAAAGTTTATCTGTTGAAACTTTGTACATTATAAAATCTCTTAATTGTTTACTAATTTGTGACATAAAAACAGTTCCTGGCGTAATACAATTGGAATCAAATATTTCATCCTTATTGAAAGTACCATTTGCCATTTCTTTAGCCTCTTGCATTTCTGATGCTTTTGCAGTTCTAAAACGACGTGCTCTTTGTTGATTAATCTTGGCTCTTGGTGCAACACCATCAATAGCAATAAAAAATAACTTTTTAGGTTGAATCATACCAAACAATATTTCAGTATAATGAAATATATTGTTAAAAATTTCATCTTGCGTGATACGAAAACTTATATCATTATTGTTTGGATGTGAACAAGTATGTATAATGCCATTCATATCTAAATATAAATTATCAAATTCTGGAATCTGTGTAAAGAAACAAAATATGTCTTTTTTTTTTCCTAGGATTTGAACATAATATGTATATAAGAAAACAATGTTTCTACATTTCAATGTGAAATTAAGTTTAATAATAAAATATATAAAAGAATAGATAATACAAATTATAATTATATGTAAACAAATAATGTTCAATTAGTAAACATAAATGACTTTACACATACCTGATAATCTTTCAACATTTCACTTAGACAAGGATATCTTTCGCTTATATATCTAAAAAATTTGGGTATACCCATTTTGGTCCGTGCTTTTTATTATTCAACAATAATAATAATATTTCAAATGATATGCACGTATATTACAATTATTTCAATCGTTTATCTTCTTAAATATTCATATAAAAATTAAAAACTTTGACTATAAGTGTTTTATACCAACATTAATATACGTCTTCAATAAAATGGGGGTTCCTAAAGATACAAAAATCGGTACATTCTGTTTTCAACGGAACTTGAACATGTAAACGTTGTTTGCTAGTTACACCTTGCTTTACCATATAACCAATCATAACCAACATATATTCATTAAATATTTCTGAACGACCAATCATATTTCACAGAATTTCTTAAGATTTTTATTTTTATTTTTAGGTTATTAAAGTTTTTAAAAATTATTCAACCATATTGTAGGTTAATTTAAATAAAATTAGAATCATCACTATATACAATATAAGTATATATATATATAATAATTGTTTACATTTCTTTAATTAATAACATATATTTCATTTTATCTATCCTATATAAATTGTACAAACTTTTAATATTCTTAATCAGTTTGTGTTGACATATAAATTATCTTTAATTTATATTTAAACATCAATGTGTGTGTGGTATATTATTTCTACAAATTGTTTATTTCTCTGTTATGTCTTGTGAAGTAGGTTCTCCTGCTTTTAATAAAAGATTTCCTTTCGGTTTTAATTTGTTAGCAAGAATTTGTTGTTGTTCTTCCTCTTTTTCTTGTTGCAATCTTTTATGTCTTTCAACCGCATAATCTATTTCTCCAACTAATTTATGAATTTTTTTCTACAACACCGAACATTATTAAAAAGTTTATATATTTTTGTATTAAGAAATAATTAAAAAATTATTATAAATATAATATATACACACGGCGAATTCTTTTTGTTTTATCATACGAGCTTTTTGTTTAACTCCAAAAGGTGTAGGTCTTCCATCAAGAAACGTATAATCTGGTTTATTTGTTAAAGGTCCAAATGCATTTGGATTTTCAGTTAATCCTTTTCTGTTATAATAAACATATATAATAAATAGAAATAGAATTAAAAATAGAAAACAGTTAACGAAAAAGAATAGCTTACTTCATTCTCCAATCTTGTTTTAATAAATTTATGTAAGATGTATGAAATTCATTGTTGATGATATACAAACCTAAAATAAAATAAAATAATAACCTTAAAACCTGTCATTAATAATAGAATAGATTATGAATTAATATACATAAATTAAATATATGTATATCATATATGTAAAAGTATTTTCTATTTTTTATTGTAATAAATAATAACATTTGTATACTAACTTGCATAATTATTACGGATAAGTATTTTTGATATTTTGGTTAACATTTTGATAATTTTGATAATATTGATAATTATTTAATTCTTTTTTTCTAATAACACATTAATATATTATTTATGTTATAATTTGTCACTCTTATTGTAATTAATAAAATAAAATTTAAAATATTTGTTTTTATTAAAAAGTAATTACACTATTTGAAAGAAACACACGATGTCGCTTTTAGATTCAGGTTAGTTCCCGAGGAATATCAATAATTGTAGATGGCGCTTCGTTCGTGTTGTTCACTAACCACTAAGTGAGCCTACAATTGTTAATAAAGACTGAATAAAAACTTTTCTTCTTAAGTATATTGAATTTATGAAGTTAAAATATGTCTGATAGTTCGGACGAGGAATTAACTGGTGGAGAAGAAGAAAAATGGGTTTTATACAAAGATCGTGAGGAATGGAATGATGTTACTCCTTTATCTCAAGACGATGGTCCTAATCCAATTGTTGCTATTGCATATTCAGAAAAATGTAAGTTACATATTCCAAAATTGATTAATTTCAAATGTTATTTAAATTTAATATTAAAATTCAAATCTTTCTTTATCATTTTTTTATATATGTATGTTTACTATTACACATATATACTTTGTTTATGTGTATCATTTATTAATTTGCAGTTAAAGATTCATATGATTATTTTCGAGCAATTTTAAAATCTGGTGAAAAGTCTGAACGTGCATTAGGATTGACGGAAGATTGTATTTGGTTGAATCCTGCGAATTATACCGTGTGGCAATACAGAAGAGAAATACTTAAAGCTTTAGGAAAAGATTTGAAAGAAGAGTTGAAATATATCAATAAAATTATTGAACACAATTCCAAGAATTATCAAGTTTGGTATCACAGAAAAGTTATCGTCGAGTGGTTGAAAAATGCATCAGAAGAATTACAATTCACTGAGTTTATCTTAAAAAAGGATGCTAAAAATTATCACGCTTGGCAACATCGTCAGTGGTGTATTAAAACGTTTAAGTTAGTTTAAATTGTTAATTGTTTACTTTTATCATTTCTTTCCTATAAATTATAACACATTGTCTTTAATTGCAGTTTATATGAGAAAGAGTTGAAATATGTAGAAGAGTTGTTAACGGAGGACGTTAGAAATAATTCTGCGTGGAATCAACGGTTTTTTGTTATAAGTAATACAACTAAGTTTGAGCCTAATGTCATCGACAAAGAAGTTGATTTCGCTTTGAAGAAAATTTCTTTAGTTAAAGCAAATGAAAGTGCCTGGAATTATCTTAGAGGGTATCATATTTGATTCTTATTTAATCTGATTATAATTACTTACTTGTATCATTATGTATGTCATATGTTATTCTATCTCTTTCTTTTAGTGTTCTTATGCAACAAAGTGGTGGTTTAGTTCATAATGACAAAGTACGTAAAAAATGTGTAGAACTTTACGAGGAAGGATATCGGACCAATCATTTGTTAGCATGTATCATTGATATTTCTATGGAAAGTCCTGTAAATGACGAATTACCTGAATCAATATTTCACATTAACAATGCTCTTAAGGTAATATTTGAAAAATACGAATATACATCGTTTAATTATATTCCTTGAATAAATATTAACTTCATTTTGATATTTATATTATTTATAGTTGTGCAAAGAGCTATCTGAAAAACACGATAAGATAAGGAAACGATACTGGAATTTTATTGGCAATCAGTTATTACAAAAGTTAGAAACTCTGTAATAATATTTTTAAAATCTATTCTTGTGGTTTTATCAAGAGGTTTATATAGGTAATCGTTATATAGTTTTACTATTGAAACTTTTATAAATTGACTTTTATCTTTAACAATGATAAGATGTATATATTAAGACTTAATATGATCACAAGATTATTTTATTTTACAAGATATAAATTTAAGATGTCTTATGTTTATCGAAATATCTAATTTTTTTTTAATTTTCAACAAATAAAAAAAGATGCAACAAACCTAGCCCGTATAAAAAGTTTAAATTGAAACAACAAAATATATCATCAAATCAAAAGAAAAATGTGGAATCTTTGGGAGAGACAATATAGTGTGCAGTGACGAACATTAATATCTATTTATTTATAAAATAGTTACAGATTCCCGTGTATAATACATAATTAATTGGCAATAATCATTCATTATAATAAACAGCTAGGCGTTTGCATAAACTAATCATAAAAACCTAAGACACGTTTTTAATATAGCATTTCTATTATCAAAAAGGGATGCTAAATTTGATAGTACCCTTTTTTTTTTTTTTTTACTAAACTTATAGAAATCTTATTAAACCGAGGCTTTGTTACTAAAAAACGTGAGACGTTTCTTTTTCTTGTTTTTTTTTTTCTTTCTTTCCATCTCAAAATAGTTACACATGTGCCTTTTTTTCAAGGCAATTAGTAGCGGATCGTCTGAAACGAGAAGCGATTTTCGTTGCGGACAAGCGACGGGCAGTGACTGTGTTGCTCGAGCCGGACGATTCGCTTTTACGTCTAGATATGAGAATTTGTATCATTTCATTTCATTATTCTTCACATTTTGAAATCTTTTTCATTAGTTACTGGCCCTCCTTCCTGTAGGATCTAACGATACCCTAATGATATAGGAAAGCATACTTTTATTTTCAAAATTTCTATTTATTTCGGCTAACGTATGTTGATAATATAAAAAACACAACACTTTTTGTTTATCTATCATTCGAAATCTTATCTGATGAGTAGCATTACGAACTATTATTTAAAAAGAAAAAAGAAAAATAAGAGAGAATAAATATAAATGTACAAATAAAATGTCTAAATTACCTTGAGTCGTCTAATTTACTCGTTAATTTTTATCAATTGCAAAGTATGTTCAACAAAATACGTATTTATAAAAAGATGTTTATTTTTTTTTTTAGCAAATATTACGTTATTTGTTAAACAAAAACAAAACCAACGCTAGATCGCTGCTTCGTTTTTACCGACGATCATATTATTTATACAAAACCGCGGAATAATAACAATAATAATAATAATAATATCAGTAATAATAATAATAATAGTAATGCAATTTAAAATGAAGCTCTCAGCATAGATTTGTTTTCGTTGAGAGGGGATCCTAAAGCACGGTTCATCTATCCTAACATTTAACAATCAACATTCAAACGATTATTCCTCTGCGCAATTTTATTTCTTTTTTTCGAATGGACCTTCGCTTTATTTCTTTCATTTGCATTTATGTTAGATATATTTCATATATATATATATGAGCCGTTTATTTTAAAAGTGGCCTGACTCCATTTTCCAAAAAAAATCAGGTTAGCAAATGTAATAGTTACATTTTTACATGATCTTTTCATTCTTAAACAATTTGTTACTACTATATTACAAAATCATGAAAACTTTGTAATACGAAAATTTG